TCAAAGCGCTTTTACACTACATGCCACATTCATGATAAACTGATTGAAATCCGGTTAGTATTCGTACAGCTCAAGGCTTAGTCTCAATAACAGTTCATAGTAAGAGGATAATCATGTTGGAAACTTGCCAAGTTATTAAGTGTGTGTGTGTGTGTGTGTGTGTGTGTGTGTGTGTGTGTGTGTGTGTGTGTGTGTGTGTGTGTGTGTGTGTGTGTGTGCTTGTGTGCTCTATAGCAGATGGTCTTCATGTCATTGGGATATCATTATTAAAGTAGAATAAGTTAGCATGTAGCTACGTTAATCCATCCTGGCTGACAATTTAGCCCTAACACCAACTCCTTCTCCTGTCCTTCACACACTGTGCACACACAAAGCCTGGTGCACTGCATTCTGTCTTATCCATCCATTAAATCCTGTTTCATTCTATTGACAGAGGACAGTCCATATGAATTACCTTTTTTGTTTGGAGCGGAATTACAGATATGTAAAAGGAATGATGACATTAAGTCATCCAGTCATTATATAGTCAATAGTTTGAATGTAGCATTTCCCATATTATTCAAAAACATAAATGGTAAATCTTAAATGGACCTGTACTTGTATGGCGCCTTTCTAGTCTTCCGACCACTCAAAGCACTTTTACACTACATGGCACATTCGCCCTTTCATACACATTCACTCAGCGATGGTAAAGCCCATCGAACAGAAACTAACTCATTCATACACATTCACACACCAATGCATGGCATCGGGAGCAATTCGGGGTTCGGTATCTTGCACAAGGATACTTCGACATGTGGCACCAGGAGCCAGGGATCAAACCAACAACCTTCCGATTAGGGGACGAGCCGCTCTTCCCCCATAAACATTTTGTCTCAGGTGGTAGAGAGGGTGGTCCACTGATTACAGCATTGGGGGTCGATCCCGATCTCCTCCTGCCCAAGTGTCCTTTGGCGAGACACTAAACCCCAGTTTTCTCCCCAGCCACTGGGGATACACAAACCAGTGCACTCGTAATTACTGGTTCCCACCCATTTAGTTAGGAAACCTATTACACAATACAGAAGATAATAACCAGGGACAGCAGGATTTGACTTCAGAGAGATAACTGCATCACTGGTTCACCACAGAAGTCACAACAAGTCAAGGAGTACACACCCTGAGTCACCCACATAGATGGCTGGACCCCTGAAAAGGTCCAGTGGATAGGGGGTTCACTGGTGTTCATTCCTCCCATGTGGAATAGACACAAATTGGTGAAGATGACACTAGCTACCTTTTGGGTAGTAACATTAGCTGAAACGTTAGCCCTTCTGGCTGTCATTCACGTCTTCAGCATGGCAGCTTTCTAGTCATTACTTATATTTAGGATAATGGGGTTATTGCTGGCCTCAATGGGCCCCTCTAGCAGCTCGGCTCCAGAAAGCTTTTACCCTCTTATGGGTGACCTGCCCTGAATTCATTTCTACATTACTGAAGCAAGGTGAGAACATAGAATACTGGAGGTCAGCAAAAACAAGAGTTTCATCTGGTAGTTGAGTCTTACAATGCCTGCAGGCTACTGAATGGACGCTGGAAAGATGGATTGCTCTCTGCCATTTTAACAGGTACAAGCCAAACTGGTGAAGCTGAGAAGTATTGAGGAAGTTGCAGCAACTATTGCTGAGTGTGATAGGATGATGCTGCTTTTTCTGCCCTTTATCTTTTTTTAGTTGTATATATGAACTATCTATTAATCTGCATTACGGTCAGCTCAAACAGAAACTTAACTAAACTACCCATATTTTATCTCTTACCCATAATGGTATCAAGCCATGCAGATGGTTTCACTTCAAATTCCAATGTCCAATGTTTTACGATATCCATTTGGAAAATCTGTGGAAAAATCACAGTTGACTGAATTTCCCTACTCAGCCTGTAAGGAAGGGAGAAAGTATTGTTCGCTCTCGAAGGGTAAAAAGGCCACTGCATTTATTTTCTCTCAAACCTCTCCCCTCCTTGAAGGTCCAGTGTGTAACATTTAGAAGGATTTATTGTCAGAAAGGGAATATAATATGCATAACTATGTATTCATTAGTGTATAACCACCAGACCAGACCCTGTATGAATCCATGTTTGGCTCTTTATAGTGGTGACTTTTTTATTTGCATTTCAAGCCACCGTACTTCCTCCTTCGGGTCTTAAAAAGGGTGAAGCAAGGTAACTGTGATCTGAAACCACACCACTAGATGCCACTAAATCCTACACACTAGACCTTTAGCTGTCATCTGGCCCTTGGCCAATGTACCACTGCAGTGAAACTACTGTGTTACCGTAGACATAAAACAGTTTTTTGATAAGAATATATTTAAACCTTTCAATGAAAGAAACTCGAAAAGCTGAATCAGTTCACTGATTTGACCTAGTGACAGTCATCACCCCAACTGGTCAAGGCAGATGACCACCCACCTAGAGCCGAAGATTTGTCCTAGGTTTCTGCCTCTTAAAAGGCAGTTTTTCCTTGCCCCCGTGCTTGCTAATGGTGGTACTATTGGGTACTGTTATAAGGAGTTCGGTCTAGATCTACTCTATTTGAAAAGTGTCCTGAGATAACTTCTGTTATGAATTGGCGCTATACAAATAAAATTGAATTGAAAATTGAATTAGGGACACATTTTTAAAATGTCGCTGCAAGCTTAAGTATATTTTAAGTAGATTTCAAATCACTCAGAGATAAATTGTGATGTTATGAATGTTACAATAGAATGAGCAGCACAGTGTTGGGCCTGGCCATGTGCTCAAACAAAGGGATTGTCAGAGGCCTTGGTGTAAGTCATAAAGCCTATTTGTGGTGACTGAAAGTCATAAAACTGAAAGGCCCGCCAAACCACAGACCCCTCAGTGGGGGGGCCAAGGTGTGGCATAAGGCCATAAACGCCCAAAGATTAGCTCGAGATTAACGTCCGTTTAGGTACTGTTCTCGTAGCACTAGAGTGCATCCTCTTTATCTTTTTAGAACCCCGTTTTTATTTTTCTTAAAGTGTGCCATGTGTCTTCAAACTCCCTGGACGAGCCAGACTGTTACACCTTTTCCCTCCTTTTTTAACAATCGTCATTTAATCCGGGATCCCACATTAAATGACGAGACAGCACGCAGCCGCTGTTCTCTTTAAATTACCAGCAGAAGGACGAAGATTTTCCGTCGGGAGAAACACCGATCGCTGATCACTGTTTTCTTCCTATAAGTCGACCTCACTGTTACTGTACGCAGCCAAATGAGGGACCAGCCCGCCGTTAGTCTCGGCCTCCGCTATTCAGCTCAAGGACCAAGCTGAATCAGCATCAATTCATCTCCACGCAACGTAAGGGCATTTTAAACATCTGGGCAGAGACAGTTTTAGTTGTGTTACTATTATTAGTATTATTTGTGTACTACCGTTATAACGTATGACCCGCAAAACAAAGATGGCAGCGCCCATATTGAGATGTATTTTCTTTGTATTTGTACTACGTTGGTCGTTTCAAAGTCGATTTTACATGCTCCTACACACTTGTTTACATTGCTGCTTTAGTCCGGTCACCAATTTATGCATTGCACGGTGTTGCTGTGTGTGCAATACAATGTAAAGTTTTGTTTTCGAGCTGGTCTGCTAAATAGGCTAATGTAGCTAACAATAACACTAGCCACTGCCCCTGGTGGCTCGAGACAAACGCCACAGCACTTGTTGAAATTGAAATAGGCGAAAATGGCAAAATATTATTGAAATGTAAGACTTGCAATAACGGAATTACTTGAAATTCAATTCAAATGTTAGTGTTTCTGTAGAAAAACATGTTATTATTTCACATTGAGCTTGTTTAGAAGAGCCACAAGCAATAACAAGACAGCTGCTGCACTTTCTGACTCGTAATGGCCAAAGACAAACTGGAACGCTGTAAGTGGTACAAGCCAGGCAATGACGTCACGTTCTCGCGGCAGAACAACTTCTCGTGAAAAGTTCACGAGACAAATGGATAGCACTATTATATATATTGTATTGGATTTTTTCAAGTTAAAGTGTTGCGCCGCCGACACAGCTGTTTATTGAGAGCGAGACTGGGATCCGCGGAGAGCAGACTGCCACACGTCTTAGAGTATTGAACTGTATACCTGCTAGTTAAAAGACGCACACCTGAGATTGTCTCATCAGAGTCTGATCTGGTTGTGATGTAGTGGGTATAACTCAGCTCGATATTATAGGGTACAGGTCAGAACCTCGGCTCCGGTGCGCGCGTTATTTCTTACTCTCTCTTTTCCTTTTCTCCCTCACACACACACACACACACCTATACACGTGTTCTGATTTGCCAGCCATTTTGTAAGCAGACACATATCGTAAATCACACATTCCATTTAAACTGACCTCTGTTCTGGGAAGGCAGTGTAGCGTCATCAGTGAGATCTCGTTATCACTGTAACGTTACCTCCTCCTCCATCTAGGCCATCACCTTGATACACACCTCCCCTCGCGTCAGTGTGTCGGCTACCTTTTGAGACTGTAAATTGCAAATTTGATATTAGTCCCTGGTAACAGGGAAGTGCCCCGAGGACAATTCAGTAATTAATAATCAAAATATGAATTACTCAATTAACCTATTAATTTTAATTATTACATTTTGATAATTATTTTTAATAATTATTAATATTTTTGCTAATACCCAAATCCTGCCCCCTACTGAGCACGACAACAGTAATCATTTTCCGTTTGTGCTCCCCATCTAGAGAAAATATTCTGAATTACATGCAGGGTGCGAATTCTCAAAGACACAAGGTCCTCTGGAAACATGATTTGTGAAATTGTTTTGGGTGGGCTCTAAAATATTGATATATGTGATAAATATATGCTATTTTTGCCATCATTATCATGGATCACACATATAGTTTGCACACTGATTACATGAATTAATGACATATTTATTCATATCTCAGGCAGAAGTGTGTTACATGTCAAAAGAAAATCTATGTTTCTTTGTCACTGCAGGAGTATGTTTCCACTGTGCAATAGATGTGGTCCCAGTGAAGAATGAAGACGGCCTGGTCATCATGTTCATTCTCAATTTTGAGCTTCCCACTGACCCCAGACCAACCAACACCTCTCCAGCCAGAGAACTCAACAGAGTGCTGCGTATCCCCTGGCTGACCCTGGGTATGTTTAATTTACATTGGTGTCAGGCTTAAAATTTCACATATTCATATTAATAGATGTTACATGGACCAGGTTTTCAACCTTTCTACATGCAGGAAAACTTCATAAAACCTCTGTGAAATAACATGTTATTTATATAAAAGCCCCACTTATTAATGAATTTAAAAATGACCAAAAACTCAAAACTCAAAAATAAAATTCATGTTTCATTCATATTCCAGTTACACAGAAATATAAATTGTATGTATGGTGCTAGTAACAAATCTATAACTTTTAGGTAAACTGTGCAGATCATGTCCTCCATCAAGGTATAGAGTTTCTTGTATATTGAAGTGTGAACTGGTAATGGAGCTCTGCGGTCAGTGTTCATCTTGATGAGTCTTCCTTTGGATACTTAGACTGTCCTGATGCTGCAGCCGTCACTTTTCTCTGATGGGTCCAACACCTGAGCTTCATCAGGTCACTCAGATCACCTGTAAAACATGGCAGCTTCAGTGTTACTTGTAAGACAGCATATAATACAGTATAATATAATACAGTACAAGTACAACTAACTGCTAAAGGGTGCAACAGCTCATTGTGGCTCAAAGTAGTCCTAAGTTATAAACTAAAATAATAAAGCAGTAGTGAGGTGTTGTTTTTTTCTCAAAGGAAACAGTTTGAGGTTACCAACTTTATCTCAAATGTCTAGCTAATGGACAGCTGCTCGGTGCTAATCAAAGTTACACAGTATTACTAAACAAATTAATTCCTGCAGTTGGCTTTTTCTCTCACAGCTCTATCGTTACCTCCGGTGCTCATTTATCGAGTGGACTTACATACATCAGCAAAACATACACACTGGAGGGGCTTTAGTATAAAGACAAAGCTAATGCTACGTTAGCTACCGTTAGCAGTGTGGGATATTTGTATACTGGGTGTGGAAAACATCTAACAGGCATTGTGCAGGGAAATATTCTGTTGACACAATCACAGGTCCTTCCTGTTTATCTTGGTAACCTTTGTCGAGAGACAGCTAGCTCAAATAGTGGCATCGGCAGCTCGCAGTGGCATTTCCGGTGGCAGGTTGAGGCCTACTAGCAAACCATATACAACCAAACCAGTAGCCTTTCGTACTGTAGAGAAAAGAGGATATCCGACTGCAACTGCAGGTGTTTGTAGCATCTGCTAGTGAGATACTGACATTTATAGTTTATAAATGTTAACACTTGGTAATATTAGACTTGGTAGCATTTTCATGACCCTATTTGTGCTTTTTGTTTTCAAGGTTTCTTTGATTATTACAATATTTGATTTATATTACAGTTATGTTGCAGTGCTGAGGAAAGAAATTGGTGGTAGCCTATGCTTTTTTAAATTTAAAATGCAATGTATAATGGGCGCCCGGTTAGCTCAGTGGGAATGCCACTGCTAACAGCGGCAGATGCCGCGGCATCTCAACCTGCCGCCGGAAATGCCACTGCGAGCTGCGGATGCCACTATTTGAGCTAGCCCTTGCGGGGTCATCATTAATGGTAAATGGACCTGTACTTGTATAGCGCCTTTCTAGTCTTCCGACCACTCAAAGCGCTTTTACACTACGTGCCACATTCACCCTTTCACACACATTCACTCAGTGATGGCAAAGTCCATCGAACAGAAACTAACATTCATACACATTCACACACCGATGCACGGCATCGGGAGCAATTTAGGGTTCAGTATCTTGCTCAGTATCTTACTTTGACATGTGGCACCAGGGGCTGGGGATCGAACCCACAACCTTCCGATTAAGGAACGACCCGCTCTGCCTCTGAGCCACAGCCGCCCGGGTCCTATGTACCCCGCTAAGGTTAGGGTTAGGTCCCATACAAAGCGGGGAACATAGAACCCGGGGAACATAGGACCTGTTGCCTTTGTCTGCAGGTTTTAGAATAGTGTCTCTAATATGAGAAACACACTGAGCCTAGTCATTTTATCAAAACTAAATTAAATAATCAATAAACTGGTGAAGCACTCACTGTAAGTAAGCACACCCTTTGTCTTTTTAGATTCATTTTTAGAACCTCAAGCCTGGGAGGTGATGGCAGAGTGTGGACAGTGGTCATTGCAGAATTATACAAAGAAACCGCCTAGTGACACATGTACTAATCCGGAAGGATGACACCCAGAATAACAAACTCATAAAAAGGAGGGAGCAGACTGTGCTCCTGGTCCCTGATCCAGCAGACCTTTGGTGTGAAGCAGATCAGACCCACAGCTGTGTTGTTTACTTATTCTCTCAAATAAAAGAAGTTGAGGACTACACTTCCTTTAAGGTCCTTTCTCAAACAAAAAACACAACAGCAGTCAGTAGAAAGTTACACAGTTTGTGATTCTCCCTCGATATTACAAACTTAGTAATACTCCTCAGTAATATTATTACTGTAATAACGCTAACAGTTCATATTAGTTACGGTTTTACTTCACACAACAGCTGAGAGCTAATACCGCTTCTCAGTGCTAATCAAAGTTACACAGCCCTACTAAACAAATAAATTCCTGCAGTTTGAATATTTTTTTCTTACACATAGCTCTGTCTATACCTCTGGTACACGTTGATCAAGTAAATTTACATACAACAAAACACACACACCTGAACAGAGAAGAACGATCTTAGCTAGCCAGCAGAGCTAACGTTAGCACATCCGTAGAAAGTTACACAAGAAGCAACATGAAAAACAATCACCAGCCTCAAACCTACTACTCCTGGTATTTTTTAGCTTCTCACAAGGCTTAATGGTCACACAGCTTCTGACTGTCCCTCATATTACAACAGAAAGTCTGACATCGGCCCAGCCTGTGTGACTACAATGTTAGCCACATTAGCTGCAGAGCATGTTAATGCCAGCAGGCTAACCTAACGTTATACAATAAACAGTAAAACAACATTAAATAGAAAAAAACTTACAGCTTCTAAGTGTGAAGTTGGGTGATAGATGGTCCATATCGGTCCATAAACTGGTACTCCTTTGAGAAAGCAGTTGCAGTCCTTGTAGGGACATTTTAGTCATATTTCAAAAATAATCCCAAATAAAGTATGTATCTTCCTCTGATGATGGGAGGGCATGCAGACTTCTGTGCTGGTCCGTCCATTATATTAGTTAGATTACTTTATTAATTACCACAATGGGGAAATTAATTTCATTCCGCATTTGAGTGAAAAATAAATACATAAATACAGATATAAAAGCTATGGCGAGTGGTAAAAGCCATGGTATGGTGGTAATTTTAAAAACAGACACTACAACATGATCAGGTGGTGCAGGTGTTGTAGAGTCTGACAGCAGCAGGGATGAAAGACCTGCAGAACCTCTCCTTACACCGTGGGTGTAACAGTCTGCTGCTGAAGGAGCTACTCAGGGACCCCACAGCGTCATGTAGGGGGTGATAGGTGTTGTCCATGATGGATGTCAGGTTCACTAACATCCTCCTCTCACCCACTTCCTCTATGGAGTCCAGAGGACAGTCCAGAACAGAGCTCGCTCTCCTGATCAGTTTATGGAGTCTCTTCCTGTCCCTGTCCGTACTACCCCCTCTCCAGCAGACCACAGCATGGAAGATGGCTGAAGCCACCACAGAGTCATAAAAAGTCCTGAGGAGAGCTCTGCACACCCCGAAGGACCTCAGTCTCCTCAGCAGGTGGAGACGACTCTGGCCCTTCTTGTAGAGAGCATGGGTGTTGTCAGTCCAGTCCAGTTTGTTATTGAGGTGAACACCCAGGAATTTGTAATTCTCTGCCACCTCAATGTCCAATCCCTGGATGTTCACCGGTGTGAAATCCCACTTCACACCAGATGTTTAAAAAACTCAGCAACCCACACCAAAACAATCTAGATGAATACATAGCACTACAGGTCAGAGGAAAAATATGTATTTTTGATTTTGGGGGACATATTTTAATGTTTGTACACACATATTTGGGGTGGCCTTCCAACCCAGAAACGGTGAAAATAATCAACTTTTTTTGTGGGTGGGCTCTGTCAAAATACCTGAGCTCAAACGCTCTGTTCAGATTTTGCTCCCCTTCCTACATAAGAAGGTGATTCATTTGCATAGCACCACCTCCCCTCTTACTAGGGCAAACATGGCGGACAGCAGCAATGGCAGCTCTTCTCCGTGGGAAGTGGCTAGTATAACTTATATACAAAGATGATATCGGATTGACTTTTTTCTAACAAAAAGATATATAAAACTATATTTTTCTTTTAATAGTATGTTGACTGTTGACCTTTGGTGCTTGTTTGGTGCTTGAGTAATGTGAATTTCAGTTATTATATTATATAGTTATTATACCGGGATCACTGAATCTATCTTGTTTTTATATAACATTATTATGTTGTTTTTTGCATCAAAAGCAAGCATCTGCAACGCAGTGTAAGTGAACCATCATGTCTTCCTCTTGTGCTGTATCCAGCTCGACCACAGCGGCTGCGCCTCCTCCTCCACTCTCTCAGCTCCAGTTCAGGTGTCCTGTCACAGGACACAGAGCTGAGTGTTCCTCTCGGTCATGAATCTGTGGCCCTGGACAAACTGCTGGAGGACGCAGGAGCTGGACTACTACTGTGGGACAAAGAAGGGGAGGAGGAGGGGGAAGAAGAACGAATGAGAGGAGGCGAGAGGGACGGCTTGGTGGCATCCAGGCGAAGGAGCGAGGGAGACAGAAAGAGAAGAGAAGGAGGTGATGCTTGTGGGCTGTTGGTGGATACAAGTGCAAGAGGAGAAGGAGGAGGAGGAGGAGGAGGAGGGAGGGGAGGGAGAAGAGGGAGGGAGTTCTACACAGGTCTGCCCCCTGCTCCAGCCTCAGCACCCCCATCACTGGCCCTGCCACTGGCCTCCTCATATGCTCCACCGAGGTAATTACATTTTTTTATGTTAAATTTTTAATAAAGATGTCATTGGGATTTTAACCCTTTACTTTAACTCCCTTTTAGCTTTTATAAGCAGTATATAAAAGTGAAATAAGTGGTTTATAACGAACTATATATGTAATGCATTTATAGTGTATTTTATTCTTCATTCTTCATATTTAAAAATAATAATAATATCTTGGTCTTTAGCAAATGCTCCATAATGTTCACCAGCTAGTCTATCTGCAATTTCTTCAGTGGCTTTATCAGACCTGTTTCAGTGAGAACATCTGCCTTATGCTGCTGGAAACAAGGCTTAGACTGAACATAACTGTATCATATGACAGTAATGTTACATAACTTTCTACCTTTTGTTTAGATTGCATGGAGAAATAAAAACTCCCCTGGAAAAGCTTTTCGTCCTATTTATAACGTTGGGTAGTGGTGCACTTGAGCTTCTTGTGGCCAAAATGAACAAACAACAAACAACAAAATGATACTGACAAACAAAAAGAGCTGCACAAACTTTTGTCTACACAAAGACTATAATTTCCACATTACAATCCTGAAAAGGTCATCTACTCCTACCTCATTAAACATTCAGACAAGAATGTAGTTTACAGTGTCATACTTTTATTTTAATCATGACCAATAAAGCTGCTCTTTCACTATAAATCTAAGTTCATTGCACTATTGTATATAATGATATTTTCATTGTGTTATGAGATGTCCAAGATGGCGCACTGAGATTGATTTCCGGGTCACAGGCAGGAGGATCATCATCATTATTATTAGTCATTTCTACTAGTATAGTTGTTGCCATTGTTGTTGCTGGTCACCTTCGTCTCTGTCTCTGTCTGTCAAATGCCACACCATCATGATTTTAATACTTTTTTCAGCCAAAATGAAAATTGTGAAGTTAAAATTATCATTCCCACACTAGTAGTGAATCATATTGCAATATCTGTCAAAATAATCACAATATGACTGTCTTTACCATACTGTGCAGCTTTAATGCTCATGTCCATTGTTTCTATAGGAGAGAGGAGAGAAGAAGAGGCCGGGACAAAGATGACTGTCCTTTCCACATCAACCATTCTCCTGGCAAATTAGACAGCAGCTGTGGGAGTTTAAGACATTCCTCCTCAGTGGATGATATCAAGAGTGGGCCAAGTTACTGGGAAAAGAGACTGCAGCTGAGACACAGCTGTACTGGTGAGAATAACACTGTATTTGACCTCAGTCCCTCTAATGTATGCAGCTTACTGTCTTCATAATTGCCCCAATAAACCCAAATACGAGCTGCAGACTGTAGCATCCAAACATGATCATCCTCATTTAAAATATTCAAATTGATAAATACTTTACCTATGCCAAAATGTATACACACCATATGGACTATGAAAGAGAGAAAAAAAAAATACAACTGACTACAGTTTGCCAGCACCCATATTGTACATAGACTGTGTTTGACAAAGTCAAGTAAAGGTCTGTCTCCCTCAGTAATTTCCATCCTTGCCTTTTTGTATCCTTTATCCAATTTCCTAGCAGTCAATAGACAGTAGGGGAAAAAAGCATGTGATAAAGAACCTTTTATTGAAGAATGCTCATATTGTTGTATATATTCTCATTAGTAAGGAGACAAGACAGGGGAACATTTGTACATAATGCCTTCATCCAAGCAGCAGAGGGCACCAGCTCATACATAATTTACATGTGCACTGTATCGTTGTAAGGTGCTTATACTGTTGACCTGCATTTTATAGTGGTGTAATGTAAAGAAATATCTCCATTGATTTCAATCTTAGATAAACTAAATAAATAATAAAACAAAATAAAATGAGCCTTTATACAACATAACATATGCAGTATATGGAACAGAACAGAACTTAACAGTTTTATTTTCTTATTCTTTCACAATCAGAAAATAAAACCTTTATGTTCTAAAGCAGTGGTTCAGTGGGGGTCAAAAGGCCTTTTTAATTTTAAGGGGTGTAAGAAAACTTAAAAAATATAAACAGTAGTAAGCCTATATGTTAGCGTGGTATTCATTTCAGTGAAGAAAACTAAATGAAATTGTTATTTTTAAAGTATAGATTTTGATCTAAAGAGCTGAACACAAGCTATATTCACAGAGCCTTCACTCTCTGCTAAACAGCCTCGTCCTGCATTAGAAAAGTTAAAACAAGATGTGACCTGTCACTGCATTTTTATTTTGGTGCTGATGACAGGTGCTGATGCACAAAGTTTGACAGAGACATCCTGCACACAACAAAATATAGAAAATACAGGCCTGCATGATCAGTATTTATTTTTTATTTGACTTTCTTTTATATGGCTTTGGTGTACTGTAATTCCATTAGAGATGCAACAAAAGTTCTCCTCTCTTTCCTCCTTCAGCTGGTCTGGTAACTGTTAGAAAGAGCAGTGCACCAGTTGGGACCTCAGACAGTGATTTGCGTTGCCAGACCGACAGCCAGGTAACACATTCAGTCAGTCCACACACAGTTCTCTCTGCAGTTTTAGAAGAAGGCCCAACATATAAGGGAATGATCTTAGTAATATCCTGTAGTGTGTGATGGGCCATCATTTTTTAAATCTTGTAGTGTGTGCATGTTTGACATCTTTATGTGCATGATGCAACTTGAACTCGGTTAGAATTTTAAAACTCCTGTAGTCTGAGCCCGACTTTAAAGATACTGTATTATGTAAATTGAAGTGTTTTTCTGCACTCGTAAATTGGTGATTGTGATTTCAAGCATCATCAAAATGACAAAAATGCACTGTAAATTTTAAATGTTAAGTGGATTTTATCACAATTCTACTTTCAATATACGTATCCAATGTATGTGCAGCAGGTGATCCAGAGCCTACTGGACACAAAGACAGACACCTTTGTGGCATTACCTCCTGGTGAAATCCGACCTCCTTGCAAACTGATCGATAGAACACATCATGTCACAGAGAAAGTCACCCAGGTTAGTAGAGATGACTTGATACTTTGTTCCAATCTAGATAAACCATTCATTTGTTACTGAATGTCTATCCCAGCCAGGGTCCAATGGCAGCAGGCTAAAGTGCAAATTATAATTTCCACATCCACATAGCTGCAAGGATCTGTGACCACCTGTGGACTGAAAGCACAAATCAAACCAAAAGCCAATAAATGAGTGACCATGCAGAGACCCAATATAGTATAGACAGAAATGTATGCATAGTTTTATCTGTAGATGTCCTTCTTCACAGCCACATATAACCCACATACTATCTTACAGATTTGCAAGCAAGCAAACGAACTATGACATGCAATACAAACATCCCCAAGATTATAAAAGAGAGAGAAGGACAGAGACCGAGGTGCACAATGACAACAACTATAGTAATGGAAATTACTAAATAAATGAAAGCACAAGAACTCCAGGGAAGAAGTGAAGTTAGTAACGAGAGGAAGAGAGGAGCTCAGTGCATCATGGGAAATCCCCCGCCAGTCTAGTCTTATAGCAGCATAACTAAGGGATGGTTCTGGACTCACCTGAGCGAGCTCTAACTATAAGCTTTATCAAAGAGGAATGTCTTAAGCCTACTCTTGAATGTGGAGAGGGTGTCTGCCTCCTGAACCACAACTGGAAGCTGGTTCCACAGGAGAGGAGCTTGGTAACTGAAGGCTCTGGCTCCTGTTCTACTTTTAGAGACTATAGGAACCACAAGTAGCCCAGCATTCAGAGAACGTAGTGTTCTAGAGGGGTAATAGGGTACTATGAGCTCTTTAAGATATGAAGGGGCCTGACCGTGAAGAGCTTTAGTGATGGTGTTTTTATAGTTATATAAACCCTTGTAGTTATAGTAGACAGGGTGATCTGAATCAACTTTGGTTACATTGAGTTATGCATTGTTAAGCAAACAAAATTTGTGTTTAGCCTTTAGTTTGGGCCTAGGAGTCTTATATTTATATTATACGGGTGGCTGTGGTGCAGAGGCAGAGCGGGTTGTCCACTAATCAGAAGGTTGTTGGTTTGATCCCCTGCTCCTCCTGCACACAAGTCAAGGTATCCTTGAGCAAGATGCTGAACCCCAAATTGCTCCCGATGCTGTGTCATCGGTGTGTGAATGTGTATGAATGCATTTATTTCTGTTCGATGGGGATTGCCATCACTGAGTTAATGTGTGTGAAAGGGTGAATGTGGCATGTAGTGTAAAAGCACGTTGAGTGGTCGGAAGACTAGAAAGGCGTTACAGTACAGGTCCATTTACCATTTATCATGTATATTTAGCAGTTAATGGAACGTTTACTCACGTTCACTTTGAACTGCGGTTAGCCATTATTGTCCTATAAAGAGACACAGATCCACACCTAGCAAGAAGCTAAAACATGAAGACAGTGTACCAATATTTTAATAAAATAAAAATAACCAGTATTAAACTCTTTTGATCAGATAAAACTGATACCACACAGTTACAGAGAACATGTATCCTTAACTGCACTACTATTACTACCAATAATATCAGATTATAATACTGATTTACTTTGTCTTACTGAGACCTGGTTGTCCCACGAGGAGTATGTTAGCCTAAATGAATCCACCCCCCCAGTCATATTAATACTCACATTCCTCGAGGCACCGGCCGAGGAGAAGCGTTTTAATGGACCCTAAACCTAAACTAAATTATAATTCATTTGAAAGCCTTGTTCTTAGTCTTTCTTGCAACCTGGAGAACACTGCAGCCAGTTCTATTTTTTATAGTGTATCGTGCTTCTGGCCCGTACTCTGATTTTATATCTGAATTCTTTCTGAGTTTTTATCAAGTTTAGTCCTTAAATCAGAAAAAAATATTTTTGTAGGTGATTTTAATATTCATGTGGATGTTGAAAATGACAGCCTTAGTAATGCATTTATATCATTAATAGACTCAATTGGCTTCTGTCAGAGTGTAAATTAACCCACTCATTGTTTTAATCACACTCTTGACCTTGTTCTATCATATGGCATTGATATTGAATATTTAATAGTCTTCCCACATAATCCTTTTCCTATCTGACCATTATTTAATAACTTTTTAATTTCTATTATTAGATTATAAGCCATTAGGCAAAACTTCCTACAGCAGATGTCTATCTGACAGTGCTGTAGCTAAATTTAAGGAGGAGACTCCTTCAGTGTTTAATTCAATGCCATGTCTGAATATAACAGAGTCCTATAATAACTTTAGTCCCTCCGAAATTGATAATCTTGTTAATAGTGCTGCAGGCTCACTACGATCAACATTAGACTCTATCGCTCCTATAAAAAGGAAATTATTAAAACATAGGAGACTAGCACCGTGGTACAACCACCAAACCCTGCAATTGAAGCAAAAAAACAAGGAAATCGGAAAGGAAATGGCGCTCTTCCAAATTATTAGAATATTGCTCAATTTGGCAAGATAGTCTTAAAACTTATAGAAAGGCCCTCCGTAATGCCAGAGGAGCCTATTACTCAACACTAATAGAAGAAAATAAGAACAACCCCAGGTTCCTCTTCAGCACTGTAGCCAGGCTGACAGAGAGTCACAGCTCTATTGAGCCACATATCCCCATAAACTTAAGTAGCAATGACGTCATGAGCTTCTTTTATAATAAAATTATTACTATTAAAGAGAAAATTAGTCACCAAATGCCCTCAACAGGTATCAGTGGCTCTCCAAGTTTAGGAACTTTAACTTATGTAAACTCAGATATATATTTAGAATGTTTCGAAGCCATCAACCTGTCTATTAGACCCGATCCCAACTACTGCTTAAAGAAGTCATAGCCTTAATTGGCACTTCTTTACTGGATATGATTAATCTTTCTTTATTATCAGGATATGTACCACAGTCCTTTAAAGTAGCTGTAATTAAACCCCTTCTTAAAAAGCCCACTCTTGACCCAGGGGTTTTAGCCAACTATAGGCCGATTTCTAACCTTCCCTTCCTCTCTAAGATTCTGGAGAAAATAGTCGCCAAAGAGTTGTGTGACTTTCTACATAACAATAGCTTATTTGAGGATTTTCAGTCAGGATTTAGAGTTCATCACAGCACAGAGACAGCTCTGGTTAAAGTTAATAATGACCTTTTGATTGCTTCCGACAATGGACTTGTTTCTGTACTTGTATTGTTAGATCTTAGTGCTGCATTTGACACGATGGGCCAGGTTGTTGGATTGGACGTGCTACGGTAAGCGTACTGACTCACTTCCGGTTTACTTCCTGCTCTGTGTACACTGTTTGGTGCTGTAGCTCTGTCAGTGAACGCTAAATATAAATTAGTTTTACTCGTTACAGCGGTTATTTACCCGCTTAACATTTAAACGTAGACTAGTTCTACTTAAACACTTGGAGTTTCTCCTCTTTTAGGGACTTTTCACTACTTTCAAAGTTTTTCATACACTCTAGTTTCATTAGCATTAGCAGTTAGCTATGGCTTCTCCCTCTCCTCTCCTCTGTCCTGCTCAGTGTGTCAGATGTTCAGTTATTCCTCTGCCTCCTTTAAAGATAATGGTACCTGTATTAAATGTAGTTTATTTACTGCGCTGGAGGCGAGGCTTAGTGAGTTAGAGGAACGGCACCGCACCACTGAGATATCTTTAGCCGCTATAGTTAGCCAGCCCCGGTAGCCGGTGCGGTCCGACCGAAGGTAGCTTCTGTTAGCTCTGTAGATCCCCGGTAGTTCCCGAGCAGCCGGGAAGACAGGGAGGCTGGGTGACTGAGCGAAGGAAGACTAGAACGGCGAAGCCCACAGGTCACCACCAACCGCTTCACGTTTCTAATAATTTTCCCACTCAGCGATACACCCGCTGAGGAACCAACTCTGGTTATTGGCAGCTCCATAGTCAGAAACGTGAAGTTAGCGAAGCCAGCGGTCATAGTTAAATGTATCCCTGGGGCCAGAGCGGGCGACATTGAATCAAATTTAAAACTGCTGGCTAAAGATAAACGTAAATACAGTAAGATTGTTATCCACGTCGGCGGTAACGACACCCGTTTACGCCAATCGGAGGTCACTAAGATTAATGTGGAGTCGGTGTGTAACTATGCTAAGACAATGTCGGACACCGTAGTTTTCTCTGGACCCCTGCCCAATGTGACCAGTGATGACATGTATAGCCGCATGTCGTCATTCCACCGCTGGCTGTCGAGGTGGTGTCCAGCAAACGATGTGGGCTTCATTGATAACTGGAAGCCTTTTGGGGAAAACCTGGTCTGATTAGGAGAGACGGCATCCATCCCACTTTGGATGGAGCGGCTCTCTTATCTAGCAACATGGCGAAGTTTATTTCTAAAACCTGACAGTCCAGAGTTAGGACCAGGAAGCAGAGCTGCTGTCTTACACACTCCTCTGCGCTTTCTTTAGAACAGTCACCCACCCAAAACCCCATAGAGACTGTGTCTGTCCCCGACCACCTAAACTATTTAAAGAAATAAAAACAAGAGGAGTTCAACATAAAAATCTAATAAAAATTAAAACCAACTCCTCAGTAGCACAAAATAAGAGAATGAAATGTGGGCTGTTAAATATCAGGTCTCTGTCCTCTAAAGCTGTTCTAGTGAATGAATTAATATCAGATTATGATATTGATTTACTTTGTCTTACTGAGACCTGGTTGTCCCACGAGGAGTATGTTAGCCTAAATGAATCCACCCCCAGTCATATTAATACTCACATTCCTCGAGGCACAGGCCGAGGAGGTGGAGTAGCAGCTATATATGATTCGGCGTTTTAATGGACCCTAAACCTAAACTAAATTATAATTCATTTGAAAGCCTTGTTCTTAGTCTTTCTCACCCAAACTGGAAAACACTGCAGCCAGTTCTATTTGTTATAGTGTACCGCGCTCCTGGACCGTACTCTGATTTTATATCTGAATTTTCAGAGTTTCTATCAAGCTTAGTCCTTAAATCAGATAAAGTAATTATTGTAGGTGATTTTAATATTCATGTGGATGTTGACAATGACAGCCTTA